GAATAAGGGATAAATTCATGAAAAACCCTAAACCTAAACCGAAGTTCTAGCCCTAACCCCTAAATCCTACACCCTAAATCCTAAACCCTAAACCTAAGCCCTAACCCTAAACCATAAAGCCTGCTACTCTTAAAAATAAAACAATTGTCAGTCTGGAAGCCCTGAACCGACGATCCGCCTCGAGCACTTCGACGCGCTCTTCGCTCTCCTTCGCCTTCTCAGCCAGCATCGCCGGGTCCTGCCAAAATGTGCAGGGTTTAGGGTTTAGGGTTTAAGGTTTAGGGTTTAGAGTTTAGGGTTTAGGGTTTAGGTTCAGGGTTTAATTACGGGGGCCTCCCTCCATTTTACGCCCTACAGTGAATCCCAACCCCTAAGCCCAAAGCCCTAACCTACCTGGTTCTGAACTGGGTTGGGTCTGACAAATGTTCCTAAACATGATTCTCTTAAACTAGAGCCAAGTAGGGAACCTTAAACCCTAATTCCTAGGGCTTAGAAGGTCTCGAGGGTTTGAGGCTTTAAGGGCCAAGTAGAGACCCCTAAACCCCAATTCCGAGGGTTTCGAGGGTTTAGAGGGTTTAGAGGCTAGGGCTGCCAAACCCCAACTGCCAGGCATCCAATGGCCTTGTCACTGCTGCCACTGGAGTCGAGATAGGCGCCGGCTATGTCCTCAGCTGCGGCAACCCTAAACCCTAACCCTAAACCCTAAACCCCTAGACCCTTGAACCCTAAACCCCAAACCCTTAACCTAAAAATCCTAAGCCCCAAACCCTTAACCCCTAAACCCTAAAACCTTCAACGCCGCAACCCTAAACCCTAGAACCCGTAACTTAAGACTTCCAGGGAATTGAGGGGTTGATTGGTTAGTTCTCAGTAGGGAATGAGGGAATGAGGTAGTTTATATAATCCCTTAAAGGGTATTATATAGGGCCCTAATTCCCTGGTTCCCTACCAAGAACCAGGCGGTTGAGGGTGTAGAGGGTGGGTGTAAGAGATTGGAGCTGCCTGGTCTTAGCCGAAGTCTGAAGTAGGGTTTGGGGTTTAGGGTTTAGGGTTTCGGGTTTGGGGTTTAGGGCGTGGGGTTTAGGGTTTAGGGTTTGGGGTCACACCTGAGACTACATAATTGTCCTCGCTTTGAATGCAGATCTACTTTATATGTGTTGTGTTCGCGCGCACACACACTGACACACGCCAGAAGCGCGCGTAAAAAAGTGGGAGCCCGAAGGGTTTGGGGCTTGGGGCATGGAGACAAGAACGACGGCCGCACGCACGAGGCTGCAGTGTTGGAAAACATATAGTGGCGACCTTGCAGTTACTTTTTGTTCGGATGCTAAACGGCCAGACCTTACCCTCAAGCCAAACCTTGCAGCTAGAATATTTGTTAATGGACGGGTGCAGTTAGGATGGTTTTAAAGGCCATGCGCAGATAGAATATTGTGTGCTTGGTGTTCTATACAACGGTATACAAAGGAGGCCTATCTGTTTTGGTACGATTCCTACTAGCTGAACTGGATTCCGCTAAAATACATTGTAAGGATGGTTCTTATTAGGTCTAATCGGACTCATACTTGATCAACTAGGATTCTTACTAGTTTTGAAGTTCTGAAAAGGAGGCGAAGGCCACAAGGCCCTGGAGCCAGGACACGCACACCAAGCACACCAACGCAGCAACTGGAGCCCTAAACCCCCAACCCTGAACCCTGAACCCTGAACCCTAAACCCCAGACCCTGGACCCTACAAACTGAACCCTAAACCCCGAACCCTAAACCCTAAACCCTAAACCCTAAAATCCCAAAGCCCAGAACCGGCGCCCACTTGCACTGACGAGCTGCCGAGATCCTCGGATGCAAGCTGCACGGTATAGGGTTTAGGGTTTAGGGTTTAGGGTTTAGGGTTTAGGGTTTAGGGTTTAGGGTTTGAACTACAACCATCGTCACCCTACTGACACCCCCCGGCACCCATGATTCTCCAAGGAGGGCTTCAGGGTTTAGGGATACCCTACCTGGGGCTCCATTTACCTGCTATTTTGGGGGGGGTTACGCCCTATATTTAGAGGCTATAACCTACGTACTATTTTGGAGGGCTCGGGAGTTACAGGTACCTAAACCCTAACCCCTGACCCTAGACCCTAAACCCTAAACACTAAACCCTCGGCTTTGCAGGCAAGGTTGAGCTCAGGATCTGCTGCATCGCAGTTTTCAGCTTCGCGGCCGTCTCGAGCTCCTCCTTCTGCTTGGCCTCGTTGTTTTAGGGTTTAGGGTTTAGGGGCCCGAAATCCTAAACCATGCTTCGCCCTAAACCCCATTAAGTCTCACTCAGCCCGATTAAGCCTTCTTTCCTTACTAAACCCCAGTCCTATGGAGCCACCTTGAACGTCTGGGGCTGAGGGTGGGGGTTTAGGGTCAGGGCTTAACTTTAGGGCTGAGGGGGGGGGGGCTGAGGGTTCAGGGTTTAGGGTTTGAGTCTAAACCCTAAACAGTGCACCCCGTAGCTGCAACCGAATTCGGATGGACCGGATGAGAGTGTGCGAGGCAGTTGAGGCATCAGGGTTCATGCTAGACTGCAAGGCTTGGGGCTGTGGGGTTTTGGGCCATTAAAGTGCTTATCATCCCCTCTTTACATCCGGACATAACGATTATACGTACAAGCTGCCCAAACATATTTATTCCAGCTGAATTAGCCCCTGCATCAGACGCCCAACCCTAGACTCCCCAAAAAGATACCAATCCCTATACTATCCGCGTAAGGAAGATTATGTTTCTATTTTGGGTAGTTTCTTCAGCAGAATTAAATAGCAGCCCCAAAAAGCCTAAACCCTAAACCCTAAACCCTAGACCCTCATGCAGCTTTCAAGAAGAGCCGGGCTGCCAGTGACTCTTTCAAGCCCTGTATGGTTGTTTGTGCCTCGCACAGAGCAGGGAGCTTGCTCGTTGCTTCCGACTCTTTCATGGTCTTTGTTTTTTTTTGTCCGAGTAGGAGGGGTTTAGGGTCTTCAGTTTAGGGTTTAGGGTTTGGGGTTTAGGGTTTCGGGTTTACGGTGGGGGGGGGGGGGCCCTTGGGCCATAGGGCCATATTTGAGACCCACATGGACATGCCAGCAAATGCGGCACGATACTGGAAAAAGGGTTTAGGGGTTTAGGGTTCAGGGCTTAGGGGAGGTTCTGCGCTTCCCTTCCAAGTTCCCAGAGCAACCTCGGCAAGCCAGATATGTCGCACCCCCCTAAACCATAAACCCTAAACCTTAAACCCTAAACCCCCCTGCAAACACCGCAGCTGGCAAGGACAACCTTTTCTGCCTCGCCTGCATGCATTGGGCACTCCGGGGATTCTCCGGAGATGCTCTGGGATTAAGCCCTAAACCCTAAACCCTAATAACTAATAACCCTAACCCTAAACCCTAAACCCTAAACCCTAAACCCTAAACCCTAAACCCTAAACCCTGTGGATATCAGAAGTGAAGGACCCTGAACTGCCAGGTGCCATCATCCGGATCGTAATCCTCGAAGATGGCACCCTTCTCTTCGGTCATCTGCGCGACTCGTTGCTTGTATCCTAGGATGGACCTCAAAACCCTCCGAAAAAAAAAACAGTCCTGAATCTGAAGGGTTTAGGGTTTAGGGTTTAGGGTTTAGGGTTTAGGGTTTAGGGTTTAGGGTTTAGGGTTTAGGGTTTAGGGTTTAGGGTTCAGCATCTCAAGTCCAAGCATTTCACTAGTAGAGCTCCTTACTCCGGTATCGAATATCGACCCACCCACCCATTGGATCCCATAACATAATGAAAATATTTTACTTCTCGTTTTTAACCTTACAGCCGGCCCTGAACCGTAGAGCCTCAGTCCTCAGTCCAGTATGCACGGAACCCGAAAGACGTGGGTCAAGGCACCTCAACGTGTTGCTCTTGCCTGGCCAGCTTCTCTATTTGCCCCGGGACGGGTTGTCCCGGGGCCCCCACGGAAGTGTCCTGCGAAGGTCCCGAGACAACTGTCCCGGTTCCGGGAGGGCCCGGGACACCCCGGGACGCCCCGGGACAAGCTGTCCCGGCAGGGCCCCGGACGACCCGTCCGGGGGGGCCCCGGACAACCCGTTTCGAGGGCAAATAGAGAAGCTGGCCAGGCCTGGCCCCACCCCACCCCACCCTCGATCATCCTCTTCCTGTCCGGGAATTTTTGGTGCTTGTCCGGGAATTTTTGGTGCTCGTCCGGGAATTTTTGGTGTTTGTCCGGGATTTTTTGGTGCTTGTCCGGGAATTTTTGGTGCTTGTCCGGAAATGTTTGGTGCTTGTCCGGGAATTTTTGGTGCTTGTCCGGAAATGTTTGGTGCTTGTCCGGGAATTTTTGGTGCTTGTCCGGGAATTTTTGGTGCTTGTCCGGAAATGTTTGGTGCTTTGTCCGGGAATTGTTGGTGCTTTGTCCGGAAATTGTTGGTGCTTGTCCGGGAATTTTGGGTGCTTGTCCGGGAATTTTGGGTGGTTGGCCGTGAATTGTTGCTTGTCTGGGAATTTTGGTGCTTGTCCGGGAATTTTTGGTGCTTGTCCGGAAATTGTTGGTGCTTGTCCGGGAATTTTTGGTGCTTGTCCGGGAAATTTTGGTGGAAAACCGCGAATCCATTAGCTTTTAAATATACATAGGTTAGAGAGTGTTTAGGGTTTAGGGTTTAGGGTTTAGGGTTTAGGGTTTAGGACTATAATCCTGATAAGCCCAATAAGGCAAAATACAAAATCTCCCAGAACCCTACCGAGGATCTATGACGTGACCGGCTATCCGTCAAGCACGTCTGCGACTTGGGCATGCAGCCGAAGAGCACCACCGTGGCTGGCTTGTTCAGGCCATGCCCCACTTCCTACATGAGGGTTTAAGGTCCCTAAGGGTTCTCGGGCCCTTAAGGGTTTATAGGGGTTTAGAGGGGTTAACGCTTAAGGGTTTAGGGTTTACCGTACTGAACGTGGAACCCCCAGCAAAAATTGTAATTATGGCTGTTTCTTAGGAATTTAAGTACTCAAAAAATCATTCCAAATACCCCCAAGCTTCTGGCTTCAACGTGGCATCAGGATACACCACGATCTCACCCTGCTCCACCATCAAGATCTTCGGCAGGATGTTTAGCAGGTTGCGGCAATCCTATACTCCCCTTCGAACCTTAATAAAAATCAATATGCTTAATATCCTCTTGGGTTGCATATAAACAAAAATACGAAAATAAGTCCCAAGGGGGATATGGAATCTGTCTGACCATGAAAGGTGATGTGGCCAACGCCATCACGTCCTACGACCAAGTCGTCCACACAGCAGAGGGCGCTGTCCTCCAGCTCCCACCTAGGCTGCCCAGTAACCAAGGCTGCCCTTTTTTCCTTAAAGGGGTTTATAAGGGAACCTAAACCTCCCAAACAGGGAATAAGGGTACTACTGGGCATCCTAGCCACAGAGGAGGATTGACGTAGAGACCGCCCAAGTCCGGCGGCGCAGTTTCTGGCTGCAGCGCAGGCTCCTGGGCGGCTGCAGCGACGTTGCTGTTGCTGTCAGCTTCCGCAGGACGCGTCTCGGCATCGGTTGCTCGCAGCTGAAGCATCAGGTGCGCGACGGCCATGCACCATTCGGCCAAAGGAGCAACAGCAGGACATTTGTCAGCCAACGAGCCATCACCTTAGTAGCACAGTAACTATATTATAATAAGGGTACCCATTTTTGGTTGGTTTCTTTACGGGGAACCCGGAACCCTAAACCCCAAACCCCTGAAAAGGGCAAAGGGTACCACTGGGCTCCCAAGTCACAGAACGCCGGTGCCTCCAAAAGTTCAAGAAATCCTTGTACTCGCGAGGATGGGCATCCTGGGTTAGCCCCAGTAACCTATACAGATAAAAACAAAGTTGCGCCCCTGTTTTGTTTACAAGGTGTTTTTGAAGGGGAACCTCACACCACCCCCCCCAAAAAAAAACTAAATTAAATAAAAAATGGGGAAATCAGGGTGATCAAAGGCATCCTAGCATCTTGCTGCCTCCATGGCACTGAAAGAAGTCAGCCGCCACAGGAGGGCGGAATCCAACCTTCGCTTGACGGTGGACCATGTCGGCTCCTAGGACGGCCCCTAAAACCCTCTGAACAAAGGGTTTAGGGTTCAGGATTTAGGGTTCAGGATTTAGGGTTTAGGGTTTGGGGTTTGGGGTTTAGGGTTTAGGAATATGATCCTCTTGAACCCAAATAAAGGAAAGTATGAAAAAACAAAACATATCCCAAGAGCCTACCTAGGCTCGTAGCAGCCAAGCAATGTGGAAACTGCATCCACAACCTGGCACACGACGGCCGGTGGCTGGCGAAACGACCGCAGCTCATGCAGTTGTTTCAGGGAAGTTGCGCGAGCTGCCTGTTCCACTGCCGCTGCAGCGAGAGCGATGGCCTCTACTTGAGCAGAGTTCAGTACCACCTCGCCTTGTGCGGGTGGCACGCCGATGGTTGTCCTTGACATCTCCTCCATGGGAGGTTGACTTGGTGGAGCGCGGGGCTCCTCGGCCTCTGCAGATGCTGCCGCAAGGAAGTCTTCCTCTTCTGGTGGTGGGCCAAACTTGCTAACGACTTGGTGCAAGACCGTGGGCTTGTGCTGCACGCTTTCTGCACCCAATTCCTGAATGGCCCTACCCACCGAGGTGCTAAGCTGCGGTATGACCTGCCCTCTTTCAGCATCATCTCTGGCTGAGTTCGGTGCTGTCCTGGGCAAGCTACTTGCATCCACGCTAGGGCGTTCTACGTCTGCCGGGTATCTTCTAACATGCGCGCTAGGCCTGCGCACCGGCATGGCCCTCAGTTCCGTCTCATTCTCGGCAGCCTCCCTGCGAATCCCCAAGCCAGCAAATTCATCAGCCCCAGCCGAAGAATCTGCAGGCGATAATCGCGATACTCGGCTACTACATAAGGGACGACTAAACTGCTTCTCGTCACCTGCGAAGTATCGTTTCCAAACACTGTTTTGAGGACTCGACTCCAGTGGCGCGTCTGTGCCCACTGCCACTGCATGCGAAACTCTGTTGGTTAATTGGTCCGCCACTGGTGAAACTGCTTCAATCTTGGTGTTCCAAAGTGGTGTGCCGATGGCCGAAGGGATGTCCTTCTCATGGAGTTCAACTGTCGATCTTGCAACTGGCTCTAAGCCTTGGTAGCCCAGAAACCATACTATAACAAGGGCACCCTTTGTTGGGTTGGTTACTTTAGAAGGGAACCCAGAACCAAAAAAAAAAAAAGGCAAAGGGTACCACTGGGCTGCCAAGAAGCTGTGCCCCCGAGAGGCTGGCACAGATCCAGACCTTGCGCCAGGATGCTCGACCGGACATGCGAAAGCGGCTGCATTCAATCTGGCATGCGTCGGATACACCTTCCGGGCCAACGGCGAGACATCATGCGGACTGATTGCCGGCCCCTCTGGCAGCACATATCCAGATTCCTCCGGTGAAGAACGAAACGAGCCACCTACCAAGTTGGTGGCTGGGTGCCCAATCCGGACAGCGGCCAAGGGCAAAGCAACCGGCCGCTGTCTCAGCTGGCATGGCGCTCGCCTAGTGATGTCGGGAACCCTCGCATCCCACGGCGTTCGCGGGATGGGTGGCACGGACACACTCCTGGGGGGCTTCCGGACATGATGGGTACCGTCTTGGGTCCTTACTACTATTTGGGGGTCTATATTCGGGTCCCCTAGGTACGGAAGCCCTAAACCCTAAACCCTAAACCCGAAGCCCGAAACCCTAAACCCTAATAACTCCTGACTCCATCATCAACATGTGGTGGCAGGATGCCCAATCCGGATGGGTGCAAGGAGCGGCGAGGGGTATAGCCTTGGAAGCCCAGCAACAGGTTTAGGGTTTAGGGTTTAGGGTTTAGGGAAATGGGGGTTTCCGATTCTAGGGGTACCTTATTGGGGGACTCATTATGAGGGGATCCTGCTAGTTAGGGGTCTCTATTGGGGGTCCCTTATGTTCATAAACTCCCATCGTGTAACAAGGGAAACCTCTTTTCGGTTGGTTACTTGATAAGGGAGCCTTGCACAGGGCGCCCCTTTTTTTGGGCTGGTTACTGAAAAAGGGAACCTTGGACTAAAAGGGAAAAGGGGTACCACTGGGCTACTAAGTAGCATGCCCCGGATGCACCGTAAATGTCAGCGTTGGGTGGCCCAAGTTGGATGCGTGGCCGTGCAGCCGCAGGTGACCACCACTGCTGCGCCAACCCCCCGGCAAAGCCAGGAGTGGCAAGCGGCTCGTGAAACCATGGCGTAATCAACGTCGCCATGTCATGATCACAAAGCTGATTGAAGCTGATAGAATCAAACAAGAATCTGGTAGTATGCTAATAAAAGAAGTTCTTTCATTCAGAATAGTTATTCTACTACAATAGCTACAATACAATGCTACACTAATACAGTGATACGCCTTGCTTTGCACATGTCTTGTGCTCAGCCAGCCAGCAGGCTGTGTGCCATTGTCACTATACATTACGGCATCGAAGCCCAATTGTCGGCATCCATGTCATTGCTTGTGTCGTGTCTCCACGTTGCATGTGCTGCTTGACCCTAAACCCTAAAGCCTGCAACCCTGCTTTCGCCATGGGCTGTCGTGCTACGTCCCAAAAGGCTTGGCCGAAAGGGAGGTGCAAAGACAGCCATTTCGCTGGCGGTTCCGTAGCCCTAAGAAGGACGCTAAGCCCAAACTGTGGCACCCCTGTACTGTAAACCCGAAAAGTGAAAAAAAACAGAAACAACAAAAACTACTACACTTCCTGTACCCTAAAAGTACCCTAAAACACCGAAGATGTCTAAACAGCCAACAGCCCGTGAATCAAGGTTTAATACAGGGGCCTTAATAATTAGAGTAAGGTTTGGCGGGCTAGTACAGTATACTTATATAGGGACCATAAGAGAATGCTATTGGTAACTATTCCGACTCCTGTAGTACGCGCCCTTGGCCTGTTTTTTCTCCATTTCCAGCTGGAAGACCTTCTGCTCTTTCTCGGAGCCTCAGCCGGATCAAGGCCACCGACCATAGCATTTCTACATACACGTAGGGATTAGAAGGGCTTAGGGTCTAAACACTAACTAGGGCATACATAGCTAGAGGCCTATTCAATTCACCATGTATTGAGGGTAGTTTGTAAAACCTACACCTTGTATACCCTAAATCTAGCGTAGTTGTTACATGGTGACCCTAAACCCTCAACCCTAAACCCTAAACCCTAAAATAAAACCCTAAACCCTAAACCCTAAACCCGTAACCTAGGATTTGAAGGCTGAGGGTTTGACAGTTTGGCTGTTAAGCCGCTAAGAGTTTCCTAAACCATACACCCAGAAAACCTAACCCTACTGTCCCTCAACCCTAGACCCTGAACCCTAGCCCTAAACCGTAAACCCTAAACCCTAAACCCTAAACCCGAAACCCTAAACCCTAAAAGCCTGAGGCGCCCGGCAGTGTGCCTGAGAAGCTGCAAGGCTCTCCTGGAGCTGCGAGATCTGCTTTTGCAGGCCCTGGCAGCTGGGCTGTTCAGGGTTTAGGGTTTAGGGTTTAGGGTTTAGGGCTAGGGTTTAGGTTTAGGGGTTTAGGGCTTTGGGTTTAAGGTTTAGGGATGGGCTAATTACATCATTTAAGGACCCCCGAAAAAGTAAAACAATTCTTCCTTATAGGGGTAATATAGTGTATTCTTTTGTTTTTTATTTATTCATTGTTCTTTTTTGACTTGTTTTGTCATTTTTTTTTTTTTTTTTGGGGGGGGGGGGGTGTCTTTCGCAAATGGTAGTCAGGGTCTTTTCGGGTTCAGGGCTCATGGTTTAGGGCGCTAGGGTTAAGGCTTCTAGAAATAGGGTTGCTAGAACTTGTGTAGGGTTCGTGTCCGGGCAAAACCAGGTTAAACTTCATGAATCCTACTTGGGATGTTCCCCCTTTATACTAACAACTCCTTAATAAGTAACCCCGATTAAGGACCGTTAGTATAATGGGGAACATCGAGAATCCCGATTAAGGAGTTGTTAGTATAAGGGGGAGCATCCCAAATTCCTACTAGACCAGGAAACCTCAAACAAGTTCAAAGTTCAAGTATTGGCTAAGCTAATTGCTTGAGGAGACCTGTTACGGGCTGCGTGGCATTTTGGGGGGGGGTTTTGTTTTCTTGCTGCAGCTTTTTGCTGGCAAACTCGGTGTTGGTGAATGGGGCACGAAGACCAACCGATCTACACAGGTCGTGAAGGATCAGGATTTATGGTTTGTTTTTTGCGGTTCAAGAATTATAGCAAAACGCCAAAACCCCAACACCACAAAACATGGACGCACACACACACACACAACAAAAAACAGTACAACCCCATACCCCAAAACCCGACACCCAAAACCTCAAACAAAAACCAACACCACCCCAAACCTGAAACTTCGAAACCCCTAAGCTCACTAAACCCTAAACCCGAAACCCTAAGTAACCCTAAACCCTAAGCCCCAAACCCTAAACCCTAAACCCCAAACCCCAAACCCTAAACCGCCCTGGACCCCGTAAAACCAGCCGAATGGCTGGGTCTGGTGCCGCTGGCTGCGGGTCGGGGAAGGCCGTACCCTGGACTGCTCTCCAAAGGTTTAGGGTTTAGGGTTTAGGGTTTAGGGTTTAGGGTTTAGGGTTTAGGGTTTAGGGGTTAGGGGTTAGGGGTTTAGGGTTTAGGGGTTAGGGGTTTAGGGCTTGGGGGTTTGGGGGTTTGGGGGTTTGGGGGTTTGGGGTGTAGGGCTAGGGTTTAGGGGTACGTACCCTGTTTTTAGGGCTTTAGGGCTTTTAGGGCTTTAAAGCTTGGGGGTTCAGAGGTTTAGGGTTTAGGGCTAAGGTTTAGGGCTTAGGGCCTTAGGGCCTGGGAGTTTCGGGTTTTGGGGTTTAGAGTTTAGGGGTTTAGGGCTTAGGGGTTTCAGGGATCGGGGCTTGAGAGGTTTCTGTTGTGTGAAGTCAGGTTTAGGGGTTTGGGGCTTAGGGTTCAGGGACTGGGGCTTAGGGGTTTTTGGGGGCGTAGGGTTTAGGGTTTTAGGTTTAAGGGATTGGGAATGGGGGCCTCGGGCTATAGTCGACATGAGTCTAGGTAGCTACTGTAGGGTGCATGGTTCGTTTGGGCATGTCTGAAGCGTGTTTTGGGGTTTGAGACGTTTAGAACCCTAAACCCTAAACCGTAAACCCTAAACCCGAAATTAAGGCTTGGAGGCTTCGGGGTTTTGAGCTCAGGTAATTGGGGCGTCTAGGAGTTCAAGGGACTATGGTTCTTAGGGTGCTCTACGAACCCTAGCTGTAGCTACCCAGGGGTTGAGAAGGCTTACAGGTTTCAGGAAGCCCCCCATCAGGGTTCAGGGTTCACGGTTTAGGGTTTGGGGTTGGGTTTCAGGGTTTAGGGTTTAGGGTTTAGGGTTTGGGGTTTAGGGCTTAGGGTTAGGGTCGAATCCTGAAACCTCAAGCCTAGGATATATGAGCTGACCAAGTTCATTCTGGCTACAGGGTTTCGGGTCTACGGGGTTCTTCCCTTGTCCTAAACCCTAAACCCTAAGCCCTAAACCCTAAACCCTAAATCACCTTCGAGAGGAGAAGGCTATGAAGGGAACTGGAGTGTGGCTCCAGAATCTCACGCACTCGTGCTTCAGGTCTTCGGGTCTATGGCTAAAGACTTCCAGGGGTTAAGGCTGTAGGCTTTAGGGTTCGACCCTAAACCCTAAACCCTGAACCCTAAACCCTACACCCTAAACCCCAAAACCGTTTAGATTCGAATTGGCCGAAGTTTGAGCGGTTGTTCCAGGCCAGGGACCAGCAAGCAAACAACGCTAATCCCGAAACCCTTGGGCTTGGGAGTTGAGTGTCTGTTGAGGGTTTAGGGTTTAGGGTTTAGGGTTTAAGGCTAGGGTTCAGGGTTTAGGGCTTAGGGCATAGGGTTTAGGCGACTTAGACTTTGCCACCCGTCAATGGGAGAGCTTAGGGTTGTCGCCGCCCCGGCGAAATACACCAAGATGCCCTGTAGACCCCAAACCCTTCTAAAGGGCCGGTTCATGATCCGATGTTCTCCGTGAAGCTACCAAGCCCCTCCGGTCAACACCCGCTACTTCAGACTGTCACAAGACCTAACACACCAAACAATTCTAAACCCTAAACCCTAAACCCTAAACCCTAAACCCTAAACCCTAAAAAATGAACCTTAAAATTCTCTAAAACCCTAGAGCTAGGATGGCCCTTAAAACCCTCTGAAAAACATCCTGAACATGATCCTCTTGAACCCACGAAGGGTTTAGGGTTTAGGGTTTAGGGTTTAGGGTTTAGGGTTTAGGGTTTAGGGTTTGGGGTTTGGGGTTTGGGGTTTAGGGTTCAGGGTGTAGGGTTTAGGGTTTAGGGTTTAGGAAAACTTTCCCCAAAGGCCGACCCTAGAGAACCCCCTGATGTCCATTGTCCGCCTCCTTCTTCAGGGTCTGGACTTCCTTCAGGCTCCTTGCAGCAAGAGACTTTGCTAGGCTGCCCAGTAACCAAGGCTTAAAAAGGGTGCCCCTTTTTTGCTTAAAGGGGTTTATAAGGGAACCTAAACCCCCCAAAAAGGGAATGAGGGTACTACTGGGCATCCTAGTTTGGGTTGACGGATCTTTCGACACGCTCCGTCTAACCCCTGTAAACCCTAAACCCTAAACCATGAGCTGCTGAGCATTCTTGCCGCATGAAAAGTATCTCGCTGGCTGCCCATCATAACTCGCCCTGAATGAACTAAGATCTCCTCCTCTCTTCATCATAAAGCGGAGGCAAATTCGTTAAGGGTTTAGACCTTTCGATGATACGTACAAGCTGAGATTTGGAAGACTGCGAATCAAGCTGGCCGCCCATGCCACGTGTCTCGCTCCGCCAAAATGGAAGCTACGCAGCTCTGCAACCCTGAAACCCTACTGCAACCCCTTTGCCTTGCAGCCCTGATAACATACAAAACAACAAACAATCACAAGACCCTAAGCAACCCTGAGCCCCCAAAAAACCTGAAAACCCCAAATCCTTCCCTTAAAGTAAGCCCCGAGTCCTTGCAACCGAAAACCCTCAACCCTAAGCCCCCAAACCCTAAACCCTAAGCCCTAAACCCCAAACCCTGAACCCCAAACCCTCTAAAGCCCAAAAACCCTGCAAAAAGGCCGCCGTGTTTCTTCTTGAGCTGGTCGTCGTCAGATCCCCCAGCGCTCTTGAAGGCGGCTTTCTCCATTTTCTGGGCAGGCTCCAGGTTGATTAGGGTTTAGGGTTTAGGGTTTAGGGTTTGGGATTTTGGGGTTTGGGGTTTGGGGCTTGGGGCTTAGGGCTTAGCGCTGAAGAGTTGTAAGTACTAACCTACGTTGTGCATGTGATGTACATACATCTTCCCCGGAGAAACCTCCGCAGCTCAACAACTGAACGCTGCGTATGGGCCGAAGTCATGGGGTTTTGAGACTTGGGATCTAGGGGTTTGGAGTTTCATATGCCCTAAACCCTTAACCCTAGACCCCGAAACCCCTAAACCCCAAAACTTGAACCCGAATCCCCAAACCTAAACGCTGCTAGAGCCGGGCTGCTCGGATGCCACAGAGGGCTTGAGGGTCCTAAACCTGAACGCCTGCGAAAGCCTCAAGAATCCAGAACATTTAGGGTTTAGGGTTTAGGGCTGAGGGTTTAGGCGTGAGGGTATACCCAGGTAACTCCAGTGACTGCTTGCCCCCCCACCCCCCCACCCCCCGGCCCCGGAAGGACCTGTAAGATTATGCCGCCGAGGTAGAGTTGAACGCTACAGCTTGAGGGGACAGTTACGTATACTCCCCTTAGAAACTTTAAAAAAATGATATGTTTAATATCCTCTTGAGTTTTATAGAAACAAGTTAAAAAAAAAAAAAAAAAAAAAAAAAAAAAAAAAAAAAACTACTAATTCCCAAGGGGGATATAGTTACGAGGGTGCTTGGAGCGGTTGGGCGTCAAGGTTGGGCGTCCAGTTCGGCTTGCTCCGGCCCGAAACCCTTAGGGTTCGGGTTTCGGGTTTGGGGTTTACGGTAACTCTTAAACCTTACACCCTCAGCCTCAGCCCTTATTTTCACCTCCACCCTAAACCCTAGACCCTAAACCCTAATTTAATAGGGTTTAGCCTCACTCCCAAGCCCCCTAAACCCGAGAGCTGCAGCAAAGGGGCGGCAGCGGCTGTGGCGGCCTCAAGCGTCCGCTCCTTGCGCGCCTCTAGGCCGGCAGCGCTTTACAGTGCGGAACCCCTTATACTTTCAGGGTTTAGGGTTCAGGGTCCAGGGTTTGGGGGGGTTCAAGAGGGGTTAGGTACCTAGGGAACCTTAGGGAGGCTTGGGGAGCCTCAGGGAGTAGTGGGGAGTATTAACCTTGGGTCTTGAACCCCCCTCCCTCATGAACCCCATCAAATACTCTTGGTAGCCCAGTAACCATCTTGTAATAAGGGCACCCTTTTTTGGGTTGGCTACTTTATATAAGGGAACCTTCAGCCAACAAAATGGAAAAGTCACTCGGCTACCAAGCACGTCAAGTTGCTTGTAAGGTTTTGGGGTACCTAGGGCTATAGGCCTTAGGCTTTATAACTAGGGTTTGGTCTTAAATCTAAGGTGTAGGGCTCAGGATCTTTGTTGGATATAGGTTATCCTCAGGGGACTTTCAAAGTTCGAGTACTTGCTGTAGGGCCTTATAGGCAGGGGGCCCCTCACTGTAAAAGGTGTTGCGGAGTTTAGAGACTCAGCAGTTTAGGGATTCCTTCGCCTAACATTATACCCCAACCCCCCAAACCCCCAAGCCCTTCCCCCTCCCATGCCCGAAACCTTAAACCCTAAACCCTAAAGCCTTTTCCCCTAAACCCTAAACTCTAAACCCTAAGCCTGCCTAACCCTAAACCCTTAACAGTACGCACTTCCCGGTTCGATGAGATGCTACAGGAATTCTGGGGGGGGGGTGGGGGGCGGTTACTTAGGGAGGTCCAAGCCAAGTCTCTTGTTTAGGGTTTGGGGGTTTAGGGTTTAGGGTTTAGGGTTTAGGGTTTAGGGTTTAGGGGGTGGTAACTAGGGTCCAAGGTTTTTTCTTGGGGGTTGTGTTTGGGAGGGAAAACAGCTCGGGTGGGAATGTTGGGTCACTCAGTATGGCTGGGATGAGGAGGGGAATCCTGGTCCACACGACCCTTAGACCCTTAGACCCTTAAACCCTAAACCCTAAACTCTGAACCCTGAACCCTGAACCCTGAACCCTGTACCCTAAAGTCAAGCTCGTGAGGCTTTTCCTCTCCGCACCCGGCCTGCTCACGCTTGAGCTCCTCCAACTCTTCTGTCTGCTTCTTGAGAGCCTTGATCTTCTCCTCTTGCCTTGGCTCGGGCTTTTAGGGTTCAAGGTTCAGGATTTAGGCTGTATAGGCTCAGGCCATAAACCCCTCAGCCCTGTAAACTCCCAATCCTAAATCCCAGACCCAAAAAAAGCCCAGGAGTCAAAAGGGGTGCCCTTTTTTTGGTTTACAGGGACACAGAAGGGAACCTAAACCCCCAAACAAGTGAATAAGGGCCTACTCTGGGTCCTAGGTTACCCTAAACCCTTAACCCTAAACCCTTAACCCTAAACCCTAAAACACAGAAAACTAAGGGGTCATGAATCCCAATCTCCAGGGCATGCTGCTGCTTGATCTGCTCTTCCTTCTCCTTCTCCGCCCGGGCGCGGGCCTGCTTCTCGGTTTCCTTGCGACTTCGAACTTCGGGTTTGGAACACCTAAACCCTAAACCCTAAACCCTGAACCCTGAACCCTGAACCCTGAACCCTAAACCCTAAACCCTGAACCCTAAGCCCTGAACCCTCAACCCTAAGCGGCCCGAATGCCTATACACAAAACCCTAAAGCCTAAACCCAACGCCCTAAGCCCTAAACCCTGCCCGCCAGCATCGAGGTCTAGGGATCGGTGTTTGGACCCCACCAGAGGGCCCATGCACCCTGACCCTTACTTTGGAGTAGAGGGTTTAGGGTTTAGGGTTCAGGGTTTAGGGTGCAAAAAGTATATACTTTTTGGGTACAAGTAGCTATAATTGGAACCCAGAACCAACAAAAGTATTAAAGTATAGTACTCCAACTCACAGGAATATGGCGGGGGTCCTACTTTTTTGGGATGATTTTCTGGGCCGGGATTGATCCGTGCCAGGCTTGGCCAAGGCTCTACAGAACCCTAAACCTCACAAGCCTTAAGCCCTGCACCCCATACCCTGGACCTTATAAACTTTAAACCCAAATTCGCCCAAACCCTAAATCCTAAACCCTAACCCCTGAACCGTAAAAACTAAACCCTAAACCCTAAACCCTAAACCCTAAACCAGCTCCCTTCCTCGGTACCCGTTTCCAAGAGCCGCTCCAACATCCGAGTTCAGACTGATTTGGGGAGGGGGTTCCTGACATAGATCCTAGCCAAAAATTGGGTTTAGGGTTTAGGGTGTAGGGTTTAGTGTTTAGGGTTTAGGGGGTACCTTATTGGGGTCCCTATCCTAAGGAAACCTACTATTTGGGGGGGTCTCTACTATTAGGGGTCCCTTGTTTTCGCAAACCCCCCATTGGGGGAGCGGGTTCCTGACAGAGGTTCGAACCCTATTTGCCTACTTTCTACTTGTAGCCATACCTCTATTGGGGTTCGTGGGGTTCCTATAAGACGGGTTCTAGCATTCGATTGGGACACCGATTTGCAAGGGGCTATGAGTGCCATTACTCGGAGTTGCCGCAAAAGGGCTCTGAGCAAGGAAGCTGCAATCCGAAGTTTAGGTGAGTCGTACGGGTGGAGCTTAGAGTTTCGAATTATCTAAGGTTGAGGGTTGAGGGTTTAGGGTTTAGGGTTTAGGGTTTAGGGTTTAGGGTTTAGGGTTTAGGGTTTAGGGGTCGAAATGAGCCCCAAAGCCCACCGAGGGTCGGCTTGCATCAGCTTCTTCTGGAGGGACGCTTGCTCCTCTTTGCTCCTCAGCTTGCGGGCGCTTCAAGCTTCAGGGTAGCTTGGGTTTAGGGTTCAGGGTCTAGGGGTTTAGGGTTTAGGGTCTAGGGGCTAGAGTTTAGGGTTTAGGGTTTAGGGGATAGAGTTTAGGGTTTAGGGTTTAGGGTTTAGGGTTTAGGGTTTAGGGCGGGGTTGGGGTGCTGCTTGGGTTTACAGATCTGGGTTCGGGTCACTAGGGTTGCACCAAAGCTGTCGCGCGCAAGGCCCATCTGAAGTGGCCAGCCTCTGCTTGCAGGTTCATGGGCAGTAAGAAGTATGGTTGGAAGAAGTCTTAGTTGCTGAGTTCAGAAGTCCCCCAAAAGTGTACACTGTACACTGTCAGTTCTACAGGGGATTATCGTATCCCAACTACTATGAAGTAATCAAAAAGCAGCCTATTCAGGGTATTAAACTCTGGGGTTGGGCACTTCTGCGAGTTGGGCACTCCAAGGACACTCTGGGGGTGGGCACTCCAGGGATGAGCGAGGAGTAGTCGGAGAAGAGTTCCGGGCGAGAAGAAAAGTTGAGGTCAAGTCTGACAACCCCACAGCGAGGGTGGGGAAAAACAATCCCTATATTACCCCTACAGGGAAGAACATGTTTATTCATTTTTGGAGGGGTTCTTAAGCACCCTAAACCCTAAACCCTAAACCCTAAACCCTAAACCCTAAACCCTAAACCCTAAACCCTAAACCCTAAACCCTAAACCCTAAAACCCTAAACCCTAAACCCTAAACCCTAAACCAAACCCCATTGGTAGCCTTAATTTAACCAGGCCCAGGCTCCTCTTGATCTCGGCATCCTTTTCGCTCAGAGTCTTCTCGAGCCTCGGACATCGTCTCTCCCGGCGAGGGCAACCCTTCAGGGCTTGGGGTTTTAAACAATTTTAGGGTTTAGGGTTTTAGGGTTTAGGGTTTTGGGGTTCTAGGGTTTAGGGTTGTAGTGTTTTGGGGTCCTAGGGTTTAGGGCTCGTGCGTCGAACATTGGCCTGTCCCGCACGGAAACCCCCAAACCCAAAACCCCGAAACCCCAAAACCCAAAACCCAAAAACCCAAACCCCAAAACCCAAAAACCCAAAACCCGATGCCCGAAACCCTAAACCCTAAACCCTATTAAACCCTAAACCCAAAACTGAAAAGCCTGCCTGCTGGGGCCTCTTATGGCTATGCGTGCAATCTGCATCGAACTGCAGGGGGCATCTCCACCCTGTAAACTCTTTTCGGGAGGCCAGGCCTCTGCTAGCTTAGGGTGTAGGGTGCAGGGTGCAGGGTGTAGGGTGTAGGGTTTAGGGTGTAGGGTGTAGGGTTTAGGGTTTAGGGTTTAGGGTTTAGGGTTCAGGGTTTAGGGCTAAAGTTGCGCCTCAGGCCTGAGGCTTTGAACCATCTGCGGACCAAGAGGCATTTTCTTCTCCGAGTCGTCTGCTGCCTCCACAAGCCAAACCCTCCATCGAATCAAATACTGGTTAAAGATTCAACCATAGACAAGTGTAGTACTGCTCTGCAATATGTACGTAATTATGCATACGAAAAGTATCATAACAACACATAACAATAACAAACAATGGGAAGCTTGCTGGCGGCCAAATCTCTCTTTACCCTCCGGCAATTCGGTTCGGAGTGTGCTCGGGATTCGAGCTGCAAGGGCGCCCCTTTGTGCGTGCTGCGCGAAGTGAAAGAGTCCGAACCCTAAACCCTAAACCTAAACCCTAAACCCTAAACCCTAAACCCTAAACCCTAAACCCCAAACCCCAAACCCCAAACCCTAAACCTACGGGCGGTCGATGACTTGGTTGATGAGCTGGTTGACCCAAGTCGGCTCCAGAATCAGGCTCAAGGGGCTCCATCGAACGAGCTTGGAAGCCAGCAGTGCGTTCAGAAGTGTACAAAACAGAAGATATGGGAGCCAATATGCCCAGAGTGGCAATGCCTCGGCCAAGTCGTGCATCTTGTAGATGAACCCCACGCCGAAAGCGTTGATCACGAGCTGATGGAGCTGGTAGGTGTACAAGGAATGCTTGCCCAAGTCTGTGTACCAGGACGCTGAGCGAGGGCACAAGCATGCTAAAAACACCAGCACCTTCCTTGGTCGCCCAGGAACCATATTGCAATGAGGGCACCCCCTTTTTGGGGCGTTGGTTGCTTTATAAGGGAACCTGGAAGCTTGAACCAAAAAAAGGACAAGGGCACCATTGGGCTACCAAGCTTGAGGCTTGGTTTAGGGTGGCTTACCCTAAACCCTAAACCCTAAACCCTAAACCCTAAACCCTAAACCCTAAACCCTAAACCCTAAACCCCTAAACCCTAAACCCGAAACCCTAAACCCTAAACCCTAAAAAGGGGCAAAAGGGGCTCCAGTGGGCTACCAAGCCTCACAAAGCTTGTCAATGACATAAACGTCGACTTCCCAAGATTTTGGACCACCGAAGCGAATCCAAGTTCTGACGGCCTTAGTAGCTCAGAAACCATATTATGATAAGGGCACCCTTTTGTGGGCAGGCTACTTTATAAGGGAAACCCTAAACCCTAAACCCTAAACCCTAAACCCTAAACCCTAGAACCCTGAACCCTGAACTTTGAACCCCAAAAAAGGGAAAAGGGTAGCTCTGGGCTAGCAAGTGGCTCGAGGGTGTCGGGGCCCCGGTTCGTGACACTCAGCAAGTCCCGAATGAAGGGAAGCCTTGGTGGGTTTAGGGTTTAGGGTTTAGGGTTTAGGGTTTAGGGTTTAGGGTTTAGGGTTTAGGGTTTAGGGTTTAGGGTTTAGGGTTTAGGGTTTAGGGTTTAGGGTTTAGGCTTTAGGCAACCATGAGGGTTTAGTTTTCTTGGTGGGTTACTTCAGAAGGGAACCTCGAGCCCTCAACCCTGTGAACTTTTTATACCCCAAACCCGAAACCCGAAACCCTTAACCATAAGCCCTAAACCCGAAATCCTAAACCCTAAACCCTACACCCCAAAAGGAGACCACTGGGCGACCAGGAAGCTGCTCCTCAAAGAAGAAGATGGCCGTCATCAGAGCGATGCCCGTGCACATGCTCCGCGGGCCCAGCTCAGGCAGCGCTTTCACACACCTCTTGGGGTTTAGGGTTTAGGGTTTAGGGTTTAGGGTTTAGGGTTTAGGGTCTACAGTTTAGGAGCTTGGGGCTTTAGGAGTTTGGGGTTTGGCTACACACCCAAATCTGGCGAAGACTTGTCTCTTGTCTCCAAACTTCCTGACACGCTACGGTTACAAGAACACTTAAGGACACCATAGTCAAAGTCAAACACCACCAAGATGCTTTAGGGTTTAGGGTTTCGGGTTTAGGGTTTAGGGTCCTGGAAGGATAGGGTGTGAACTTCTAGCTTGGGATCCGCTGGGATCCGCCAACCCGTTGAGGGATTGGTGGGGACCTCGATGGACCCCCCAAAAACCCCGGGAACCTTCTCAGGGGTGTTTCCAAACCCTTCAGCCCCTTAACCCTCGATGACTGGACGCCTTAAAACCCCCAGCCTCAAACCCTGACTCCCTCAACCGCGGAAGCACTTTGTGCACGAACTCTTGTAGTGGGCTCTACAACCAGCCGGAGGCTCTGAAAGTTAGAGCTCCAGTCATGCTAATGACCTAGTTTTGGAGCGCAAAGCGGGGAGTCACCACATCCCCGCACCTCTCTATAGGAAATGCCTGGCCAATGAAGAAGAAGGGCAGAAAGACCAGAGCGGTGCTCACGGCGAAAGGAATTGGTGGAGCGAGCCAGAAGAACACAAAGCCAAGACACGACAAGAGGATCCTTGAATGCTCTTCAGGGCCCCCGGATAGAGTGTGAGAAAGCAGCTTTCGATATTATTGGACAATGCTATACTTCCAGGCCCCCAAGAGTAATCCCTAGGAATAAATAAGAGATGTGAAAGTGGCTTGCTTAATGCGGGAACCGAAGACCCCCCCTCCCCCCAAAAAAAGAGTTTGAGAGTCTACTCTTGGTTCTAGGCTTAAGCTGCACATGTAGGCCTAAACCCTAAACCTTAAACCCCAAACCCGAAACCCTAAACCCTAAACCCTAAACCCTAAACCGTAGGAGTTAGGGTCTAAAGCTTAGGGTTTCCAAACCACGATCCAGGATCTTGGCTGTAGGTTGGAGGCTCACAAGAAGAAACCCACAAAGCTGCCAAAAGATCAGAGCCTGCGCATACCATATGTGGGTTCCCGTGTGGGAAAAGGGGTACTTCAAGGTGTGGTAGATCACAGCGAAGTACTCGGTGACTGATTTGGGAAATCTTCCTCCGGTGACTGGCTCGATATACTTTGCCACGGGGGCGAAGAAGACAACAAAGAGTAGCAAGGATGCCACCTGCTGACCTAGACTCTGAACTCCATATCTGTCTGGTCTTCGGTTGCGGGTCACCCATCCACTGATGAAGGCAAATGCACGGGTGTGAAACTGAAAAAAGTGCGTCATAGGACCGCCACGCGTGTGCTCGGGATCTAGACATATCAGCACCATCATCCAGAATTTGGCATTGTCGAGAAGATCCAGGCGCGGCTTGGCATCTTTATGCTCTGGTTCGGTGTCCTTGAAGTAAGCCTGGAGAAGTACGTGAAGAGCGGCGAAGCCGAGTACATATATGATGGTATCCAACAGAACGATGTTATGGTGATTGGTGCCCCAGCGATATAGAACTTCCGGCGTCGGAAGGCTCGGCGTCCGCGAGCTCGCAGCCTCCTTACGCGCGCGCAGGCTCAGCAGGCCTATACCGCCTGAGACGTCCCGGTCCTCAGACCAGCAGGCTGAAGCAATGGAGGCGTTCACCTTACTGGCTGGTTCTTAGTAGGGAATGAGGAACCCTAAACCCTACACCCTAAACCCTAAACCCTAAACCCTAAATGCTAAACCCTAAACCCTAAACCCTAAACCCTAAACCCTAAACCTCCCTGCTAAGAACCAGGGGGCCTTTGGTGAAGCATCGGCTCTTGCCGCAAGGGCGCTCAAGGCGGCCAGCCCCAGCGCCATGCGCATGTATGAACAGGCCATCCCCGTGGTGTTTCGGAGAGGCATCGGGAGCCACTAGACCCTAAACCCTAAACCCTAAACCCTAAACCCTCCCTAAACCCTAAACCCTAAACCCTACTACCTTCACTAGGTTTGAAGGAAGTGGCTGCGAGTCGGCCCAGAAGCCCACACCCCGAAAACGCAAGCCGTTTGAGGCAACAGCACCGCAACGTGCAAGTCTTCGAACTCACGAAGACTTCGTTAATCAAACGCACAGTAAAATCATCAAACCCTAAACCCTAAACCCCAAAATCTTTCATCGTCCAAACCTCAAGCTTTAAACCACCCCTCCCTGAAGCCTAGTAACCACCTCCCCAACACTCCCCCCCCCCCCCACCCCCAATACATGCTGATATTCCCTTCTGGGTCTAGGTATCTGTTCTAAGAACACATGTTTTGCCCCCCAACATTGGGCCCTGTATGAGAAGATAGGAACCTGTATTGGGTTTAGGGCTTAGGGCTTAGGGCTTAGGGCTTAGGGCTTAGGGCTTAGGGCTTAGGGCTTAGGGCTTAGGGCTTAGGGCTTAGGGCTTAGGGCTTAAGGCTTAGGGCTTAGGGCTTAGGGCTTAGGGCTTAGGGTTTAGGGTTTAGGGTTTAGGGCTTGAGGATCCGCACTTCATTTTCAGGGGCCAACATGTGGGGCACAACCCGGGGCCAAGCTCGGGAGAAACCTTTCGCCTCTCAGAAACCTTATCAGGGGTTTAGTAGGGTTTAGGGTTTAGGGTTTAGGGCTTAGGGCTGAGGGGCCCATACCTTAAACTCTATATAGGGTACATGGGCCCTTCGGGGAAGAGAGGAATGAATGCGGCATGGCTGTGTGCCCACGGTCCAAGGCCAATCCGATGGGTCGGGGTAGGCTATCGCTCTTGGTAGCGGTTTAAACAACTAGTTTGTGGGTTTGACTAAAAAAAGAGTTTAGAAGATTTGCGATTGTTGGGTTTAGGGTTTCGAGTCTTTCAAATTACGGCGTTGCTTTGGTTAGCTCTTTATGCTCTGTGCAACAAGTACCTCACGCTGTCAGAGCGTCGTGCAGAGCTCTCCCGAACAATAGGGTTTGGGTGAAGGACATTTTAACAACCCTAAATCCTAAACCGACAATACTTGGGGTTAAAGGTGTCTGTATTGCTGTTGTTGGATGTATGTAGGGACATTGGGGATGCGCACTCATCCCGCCTCCCCGCCACCCCTACACCTCAAACCCCACATTCCTAAAACCCTGAATTCCTCAAACCCTGAATTCCTAAAACCCTGGCTTCCTAAAACCCTGAAAACACCCTGGAAGAAAGCCAACGACAAAAACAACTTGCTAACCTTAAGCTCTCAAACCTAGCCCCCTCTATCTAGGCTTTCTACCTTGGACCCTTAAGGTTGTACCCTTGGGTTTTGGGGACCCTTTTTGGGGATCCCTAGGGAATATAAGGGCCATACTAGGAGTATATTAAGGGGAACCTTTAGGGGTACAACCTTAGGGGTACGAGTCTTCATCCCTTGACTCTACTCTCCCAAAAACAACTTGGTAGCCAAGGAAACAGCTTATAAGAAGGGTACACTTTTTTTTTTTGGGGGGGTGGTTACTTTATTATAAGGGAACCTTGAACCAACCCTAAAAAAGGAAAAGGGCACCAAGGGACTACCAAGCCAAAGGCAGCGGTTTAGGGTTTAGGGTTTACTTCAGGCCCCTGGGGCTTCGCCTCCGCTTTGACTTCGGCCTTGGGAGCCTCTTTCGCCTCCGCCAGGCGGCCCATAGGAAGGGTTCAAGGTTTAGGGTTTAGGGTTTAGGGCTTAGGGCTTAGGGTTTAGGGTTTAGGGCTTAGGGTTTGGGGTTAGGGGTTTAGGGGTTTAGGGGTTTAGGGGTTTAGGGGTTTAGGGGTTTAGGGGTTTAGGGTTGAGGTTTCGAGGCTTTAGGTGTTTGGAGCTTTCGGGGTCTTAGGGAGGCTCAGGGGTTTAGAGGCATAGGGCTCAGGGGGCTTAGGCCCCGTTGAAATCAATCCACAAATGGGTTAGGGTTTAGGGTTTAGGGTTTAGGGTTTAGGGTTTAGGGTTTAGGGTTTAGGGTTTAGGGTTTAGGGTTTAGGGTTTAGGGTTTAGGGTTTAGGGTTTAGGGTTTAGGGTTTAGGGTTTAGGGTTTAGGGTTTAGGGTTTAGGGTTTAGGGTTTAGGGTTTAGGGTTTAGGGTTTAGGGTTTAGGGTTTAGGGTTTAGGGTTTAGGGTTTAGGGTTTAGGGTTTAGGGTTTAGGGATATCCTGGAAACAACTTATACTCAGGATGCCAACCTAGAACGAAGAGTAGCCTAGGAACAAAACAGGGGTGCCCGTTTTTGTTTAGAAGGGCTAAATAAGGAGCCGAAGCCCTAAAAATGTCATTTTCTGGGTCCTAGGTTACCCTAAACCCTAAACCCTAGACCCTAAGCCCGAAACGCTCAACTAAAGGGAACGAAGGGGTCACCGGCATGCTCGAGTGGGCCGATAGTTTTGAATTGGGTTTGTCACCCCCCGCCTCAATGAAGTACTAACTGGTTCTAGTTTAGAGTAGATCCTGCCTGAGCTACCTCAGAGACTCCGAGCTGTCTCGAACACGGATCTGAAGCCCCATGCGCACAACAATCAACGCCCATCACAGTTTAAAAGGATGATCTGCTGCTTGTCTAATCGGGTCTGAAAACCAGGGAAATGGGCTAATTACTACTGGGGGGTTCTGGTCCCTCAAAACCTCAACCCTAAACCCTTAGCCGTTCAGTTCTGGTCCTGGGGGGGGGGGGGGAGGGGGGCCTCATTGCCCATGCGGAATACACCTTAAAAAGCCAGTCGACTACAAGCACGCCGGAAAACCCTAACTAATTCAACTGTTGAAGCCTTCTTGCGGGCGAAGTTGCCCCTTACTTTGGGTAAGGGTTTGATTCCGGCAGAGGATTTCTGCGTATAGGGCTGCTGCTGCGCTGTCTTCGGTGTATGTTGACGGCCTAGAGACGACAGGGCTTAGGGCTTTTATAGGGCTTGCAACAGCCGAAGCAGGTGCATAATGTTTTTCCTTACAGTCTCCCTTAGCCCGATTCCCAGAATGCTAGGGCGTGATGCTAACATGCAAAAGTTGAAATGCTTTGTCAGGCCACCCACCGTTCAAGCACGCGAATACTTTAGGGGCCTGAATAATTACATAGAACAGGGCTTTGGGGGGGCGATTCAAATATAAGTATAAAGGGACCATAAGGGAATATTATTAGCAACTATTCCGAACCCTATATTAGGTTAGCCGAGGTCGTGCCTCCGTCTTTGCTGGTTCCTTTGCCTCCGGCTTGGCTTTAGCTGCCGGGGCCTTGGATGTTTGAGAATTGTTGTTCAGGGTTTAGGGTTTCGGGTTCAGGTGTTTTATTGAATTTAAGGCCTTGATGCTTGGATTCCAGCAGGGTGGCGTCCACAGTGTTAGGTTTCTGGCAGCTGGCGCAAGCACAAACTCTGCAACCAGCTTCCAGTAGCCCTGATTATCCTGATCCGGGTGCTACGAAACACATTCTCAGGATAAGAGTGTCGAAAGCAAGCAGTTCTATCGAAAGAAGTCACGAACTATGCAATCGAAGAAGTGCGCAAAGTTGATGTTGATTTGCAAATCGCAAGTGATCTTGCGAACCGACCCAACCTTCGATGCTGCTTCTCATGAAGAAAGTGGAGATGATTTAAACAAAAGCAAGGATGCGACTTGAATCATCAGATTGCAACCTACAGCTGTTTGCCGCGAAGCGCTCACAAACCGGAGCCCTGAACTGCAATATGTCGTAGGGCATGGCTTTCATTCCCAAAGAAGTCCCATCGAGACACCTTGCTGCCTTCAGGCACACTTGAACCTTCAACGGGTGTCGCGCCTCTGTCTTGGCTGCTTCCTTCGCCTCCGGCTTGGCTTTAGGTGCCGGGGCCTGGGATGTTGAGAGTTGTTGCACAAAGTGCAACCAGCTTCCAGTAGCCCTGACTATCCTGATCCGGGTGCTGCGAAACATGCTCTCAAACGGTGTCGAAAGCAAGCAAGCATCGAAGCCATCACAAAGCGGAGCACTGAACTGTAATATGGTCCTAGGCCATGGTTTGCAGTTCCCGACGAAGGGACACCTTGCCTTCAGGCACACTTATCCTTTAAACAGGTGTGGCGCCTCTGTCTTTGGTGCTTCCTTCACCTCCGGCTTGGCTTTACTTGCCGGGGCCTGAGCAAGTGTAAACTGCAACCGGCTTCCCGTAGCTCTGACTATCATTATCCTGATCCGGGTGCAGCGAAACATATTCTGAGGATGTAAGTGTCGACAGTATAAGATTGTACTGCTCCGCCCTCTTTAGCGCAATAACCCCCCGCCTCCTACCATCGGGACCATTTGGGCCTCTATAGACAGAGCTGTTCTGGTTGTGCAAAGGGTGGCCTTGATATGTTCCCCCTTATACTAACAGTCCTTGATGGGGATTATAGTAGGGGCTATTGGAATCCCTATTAAAGGAGCTGTTAGCATAAGGGGGCACACCCCAAGGGTTGCCTAAGAAAGGGAACAAAAAGGAAAAGGCTGGTGGGTTAGGGCTTTTCATTCGGGTTGAGGTTGCGGCTTCGGGTTTAGGGTTTGGGGTTCAGGGTTTAGGGCTTAAAGAGAAACCTTAGCTAGCTTGGCATGTCTTCACAGGGGACCTCTCCCACACTGGCTCGATCCTGGAATAGCCCAGCGAACTTGTCCTAGAAAAGAGGGCGGAGCATTAACAAGCAGCATTTAAACCCTAAACCCTAAACCCTCCTAAACCCTAATAAAGCCTCTGGAGGCAGCAAAAAAACTGCGCCTCGACATGTCAGACTTCGCAGCTCCGAAGGGTGGGGTTGAAAAAAAGTCGTAGAAGCCACAACAGACTAGGGTTTAGGGTTTAGGGTTTAGGGTTTAGGGTTTAGGGTTTAGGGTTTAGGGTTTAGGGTTTAGGGTTTAGGGTTTAGGGTTTAGGGTTTAAGGTTTAGGGTTTAGGGTTTAGGGGTTGAGGGGGCTTAGGGGTT